CAAATTACATGATTTTGAGTTAAGCAGCAACATACATACATGGTCTTGAATACCAAAATTGTAATGGCATGTGTGGCACACACTTGCCTGTGTACCACGATATACATCAAGGTGCCAAACTTCATACTGTGCAAATAGCCCACACCTGAAGCATACAAACAAACTCAATCATACGTTCATACACACATACAGAACCTTGTATTCGATTTTTTTGTATTTGGACTCAAAGGATCCCAAACAATCCATACATACAAAAATTGACGGCGACTCAATATCGATACTTTCCTTCTCAAAAATGATACTAATATCTCAGAAGCTCAAACTTTACAAAAGCGTTACACAACTCAACACAACAATGCACCGAATAATGCAACAGCCCCTTAACTCCGCAAGTATCGTACAAATTGGCGTATCAACGTCGTAATTACTGTACAAATTACTATACAAAAAGAAATCTTTTGCCTCTTGTAAGTTCAAGCAGCGACTAATTGCGTTCTCAGGCAGGAATCGGTCCTGCTACCGTTTCGAGGGTGAACAGAGAACGCAAAGAGCCGCCAACAGTCAACGTATCGCTTTATATATTCGAAACCGGTCAGGGCTGGCAAGAAAAGACACGCGCGGGCGACTTTCGCGATAGATCGGCATTTTTCGCGGACGCCAAATAATATAATGGCTTTCACTTCGCGCGAGCCGGAAAACTAGCCGGCCGTGATACGGCCGAAGAGAATAACGCTTCAAAACGAAGTTAATTACGTCTGATTTAATTAGCCGTCCCGAGCTCACCTGGGATTAAGTCATCCTCGCGCGACCGTTTTTCCCAGGGTCGTCGCGTTTTCCTTTTTCTTTTGAGTCGTTTTAGCTCACCTCCCGCGTCGTCTCGCGCTTAGCATTGAATCGGCGCGATGAAAGAGAACCTGCACAGAATTCTACAGCTGAGACTTATTGTCGAATTTTTTTATTTCATTGCATGCTTGGAGTACTTCGATACTTGATGAGTGGAAATATTATTTGGATAGTCAGTTATGCAAGTACTGCTCGTGTAATTAAATATTTGATTAGTATTCGTGTACTCAAGTTTATTTGAGGAGCTTGGAAAGTCAAATATTTTTTAATACTATTCAAAATAGGTGAATAGTTGAATACAGTACTTGAGCAGTATTCCAATAGTCTGAAAATCGATTACAATTCGAGTACTAATCTAGCAATCAAGTACTTCAATAGTATTCGAAAAGTATTTGTAGATGTAAGGTATTCCTCTCGCCCTTCCTTCAATTACTATTTAAAACAAGGATTGTTGTTTTGTTCCTATCCAAAGGAGACAAATACTCAACTTATTCCGCATGGAACACTTCATATACTTGTCAATAAATAACAGTCTGAAACAATACCTAGAGAGAGAGAGAGAGAGAGAGGGAGAGAGAGAGAGAGAGAGAGAGAGAGAGAAAGTCTTCTCTCCGTTCCACAAAAGCAAAAATAAATTCACGTTACATAGACCCAGTGGGAGTAGTGTTGGTTACGTCGGTGGTAACGACTTACACATTCGCGAATTGATAAGAGCACCTTTGCGATGAGAGTTCTTTGCAAAAGTCTGCCCACCACCGATGTATCCGCTTTCTAACGTTGATCAACGTCCAGAGTGAAATTTGCGCTTCTAATAATAGAGTCATACACCGTTACGCAATATGTCTTGGAGTTCAAGTTCGATCGTCTCAAACCAGAAACAATACTTCTTTAGACAATGTCTAATGGAAGGCAACTCTTATCGAACGTGAGCACAGTGGAGCCACGAAAAATCGATCCTATTAATATTCATAACGTAAACTTCATAATGTAAACTTGTTAATGTTGTATATATTTTATACGATCGGATTCCTCGACAAACAAAATGGTGTTTAATGTCCTGGAAAATCTTCGTTTTTCATTGAAAATAAAAATAGTACATGACCTGAAGTGTTTAATAATTTAACTAGGAATACAGTCTTACTTAAACGTAACGTTTCCAAGAATTTCCTCGAGGTACAAGAAGTCTGCGGTTCGAAGCCCTTCGAAGGGTTGGAGTCCTGTAAAAAGGTTACTACTGTCGAAACGGGCGATCTCCTAATCTCAGCTGGCGTAGAATCCAGACGAATTGCATGAACTCGAGGAATTTGTCCCTTGGTAGCTGGATCGAGATCCTCAAGATACCAAGGAAATGCTTGGACATAGTGATGGGATCAATCCAGTGCCTTACTTATTAATCTCAGTCTTCTAGACGTGCACTGTCATACTGGCTCGAATAATATGCATATATAACTTGCAAATCCTATCTAACATTGTTTCTGTTCTTGTATATTTTCTTCATTATTTGCTTGGAATATATTCTTTCATATTCATTTATTTATTTTTACACACATATAAATTATTATCTTATGTTGTATCAAAGAGTGGTTTTTCCCTGTTAAGCTAGTAAATACATGAATGATTAAAATTAACCGATACAATACAAATAATCGGCAGGGGCACTCTTTAATTTGTAAAATAACTTAACACCGCTCATACTTATTTGTATGTATGTAAAATATTTTAAGGGTTGAAGCATCATGATACAACGTTGCTAACAGAAACTAGAAATTCATCTCCTGTTTTGAAGCATATTTTTTCCCACAAAAAATTTCCAATATTATCTTAATCGTAATTACACTCCTAATTACAACACTTTTCCAAACCCATTTCAAACACAATTCATTTTATTTTCATTAGTTAACTCTTAGAGGTTAGGTGAATCAAAAACCATTCCTTAACGTTGTATGCATAGTTATTCTTAAAAATTTGAGCAAGTACAAAAATTTGATGATAAAGAAACATTTGATGTTTTATATATTAATATTAAAGCTGAATGAAAGTGTGATTCCGTGCAGGTTGGGTATTATATTTCTGTTAAATCGTTTCACTTAAACACCCTGTGCAGTTCACATTCGGTGGTCTAAACAAGTCTCAGTCCCATCGCTACTGGCTCGTTTAGTGCTCCGAGTAGCCACGATCCCCAAGGTAACTCTGTTTCGGCATGGAACGACACGGGCGAACCGTAATTCAAAATTATCGCCCCTACAGTGGAGGGCAACCCTCTCGACGGCTACTCCATCTTATTTTCAGGCTCCCGCATAATGCAACGTGGCAGCTGGAATTAGTAGGTTGAAGTAATAAGTAACGAGCGACGGCGGCGACGGCAAGCAATCTATTTAGAAAAGAATTCAGGTTTCTTGGGGCCATTCAACGACCTGTAGTTCCAATTCCTTAGAACGTTTCACGTTCGCCACTAACGCGAAACTCCTTTTCGATGCGAGGACCTCGTTTCCACGTAACGAGCGGGCCATAATCTGGACTGCGTGTGTCGCCATTCCTGGACCCCAAGTTTCTTCCTCTCATTTTTTTTTGCCAGCTTTCTTCTTACAGTCCGACGACGATAACAATTTTTCGCTTAACGGAGTCCTCGCGCTCGCAGGTTATCCTCTTCGTTAATCCTCCACGTTTGCGCTAATTTCAGCCGAGACGATTTTCCGCGAAGGGTCTGCGCCAGGGTTCTCCGCAGGCAGGCAACTTTGAATATTTGTGGGTGCCATTAGAATATTATATTGCATTCGTAACCTCCATCCCTGAGATAATCAAAAATTTACTGTTGCATTTCCCCTTGTGGCGTAAATAACTCGAATAAAAGAAATCGTTCAGGATTTTTACCTTATTGATGAATTAAACATTTTTTTATGAATACCACAATATGCTAATCGTAGAAAGATATATCGAAGTAATCTTTTAAGTATCTAATTAAGTATATAAATAAGTATTTTCTTTTAAATATCTAATCAGCATAGGTGGTAGGCAATATAACTCCCGACTTTCAAGCGTTCGATATAGTTGATTATGAGTTTTAGTTTTACGACATCTGTTCCATTTAAGAATAATCGTAATGGCCTTCGTGAATGTGCGCCACTCGAAACCATTTAATCCTATCTGAGTCATTCTTCTTTATGCATGATAATATTGACGTAAAACGAGCTGATAATATCCGGTGAAGTTACATATAATGAAAGTTCTGAATAAAATATAAAAATTGCACTTTTTGCCTTATTGTTAAATTAAAAATTTTCTTGTAAATACCACGTGAATATAATGGCATAAGATATTAGTTGCGTGCATCGGACTTTGAAGTTCACGCGACGTTGTGCGATTGGTACAATTGTTAGTACAATGGCTTGTATATTTTATGAGTTAAATACCGTCGAGAATAATTACCACTGCTCTTAGTTATTATAAGTTGAATTAAAGCAGTCGTTATAGATAAATATATAACGCAAAATGTAGAGGCGCCGTATCATCGAAACAATATATGTAAACACACGACATGAAAATGTTGTCTAGCTCATCGACATAATCTCACACCATAACAAAATTTGAGACAATTTCCCTTAACAGACGAACTCCTCCAAGCCAATAACAAATGAACCCTGCAGCGTTAATTAACCTACATCAAAACCGAAGACAGTGGACTGGCTCATCGACTAACGATATACCCATCTAGGAAGATTTAATTGATCATGACGGCTGAAGAAAAACCGAATCTAGGACAAAGATGACGACTCGATCGAGGTACCAATTGTCTGATGTACCTGCAGGCCAATGGAGAAGACCCCGAAACGAGCCGACACACGTCTGTGACGAAGTTTCGTGCGTCGTTCTCGCGGCAAACTGCGCGCACCACGCCTGCACGAGAGAGCTGGACAACGTAGGTGACCAGGTAACCCGGGTGGTGCCTGGTTGCACTTGGTGCGGCCCGTAGATGCCTGAGCGCTTAGGGCAGGATGGTGGGGCGGGTGGAGTAGGAGGCTGTTCGTTAGACACGTTGTACCCCGCGAGCAACCTACAACTAGCAACCTCTATCGCCTGCCGCAAAGGGGGGACCCCCCTTTGGCCCCAAAGCAGCTGGTGGGACTATGCCTTCGTCTATGCCTAGTCCGCTAGCACGGCGTGGATTATAGTTTTTCTGGGGGGAGGGTGGTGGAGCGCCTTGCTTTCGAAAGGATGGTGATTGTGGAGCGTAGCCAGAGTAGAGTTAGGCGTATATAAGGCCCGTCGGCCCGGCCCAAGTCAGTCATTCACCGGACTACCAGCCCACCACACACATACCAAACATGAAGACCTTTGTGAGTATCCACTACGGGGTTGGTGATTCCACGGGGTGTTCGGGTATTCGAATTTTCACGGATTTTCCGCGACTATCGGGATTAAAGTCTTAAACACTTGCTCTGCAACGTGTTGCGACTCGTTGTCTCGAACGTTTCTCACTTTTACGTCGAAGTTCACAGTAGAGATTAATATATATTGCCTCGGTGGCAATCGAATTTCCAATTCCTTTACACGATTTCATTGTTTAAAGAACGATACCGGACCGTCTCGAGACACAAGCCTTGGTCTTTTCTCGAGTCGTTGAATAGATATTCAACGCGGTAGCTGCTCGACTCGATCGGATGATAAATCGGGTATCTCTCCGGTTACTTTCCTAACGATACAAGTAAACCGATCTCGGTGTTCCTGGGTTACGAGACATCGCGACGACAGAGTGGTAACTCAATGTCACGGCTCGGGTGCTCTTGCGTCCTCTTTGCTCCTTGGGGCTAACAAACGGACAGAATTTGCCCTTCTATCGCGCTCCATTCATGCAACGAGAAGTCCCGTCGCACGGTACACTGACCGCGTCATGAAACCGGTTGTTGTAGTATCATCGTCATTCAGCAACGACCGGTTCTCTCCACGGTGCATCTTCATTCACGAACACCATTTGCCATCTCGCTGTTACTCTTGTTCGTGGTTTCCTCGAGTCATCTCCATCGATCTCGAACGATTTCTCTGCCGATTTGTCGCGATCGTTTGACCCCCAGCATCTGAAAATCACGATTAAACTTATCATTCCGCGTCACCTTCGCGATCTCGATGCAAAGTGAGCCTAGGAATCGTTTCGAAATCGTCGTGTGTCGATCGCGAGAACGCTCGGTCGAGCACGTCGCACGGGTGCCTCGTTCCGCGTAAACGGGATGTGAAAGTTTCGCCAAGTCGTTGGAATATGCATAATACCAGGCCGATGCGGTGCCATTTAAGTGCAACTTAAGTCCCCGGGCAGCACGCTTCCAACCGTTCAATCTTCCGCGATTACGACCAAGTCCGCACCCGTTCGTCGCGATTTTCTCCAGCTACGGCGTCGATCGATTCGTGGTACAACGTCTCGACCGGTCGTTTCCAGCAATAGGAAGAAAAATCGCGTTTGAGCATTCCGTCGCGATCCCACGAAAGCGATCTCAGGGAGTTTAGTTTCTCGAACCTCTTCGATTACGAGCTAATCACGAGATAAAGCTCTTTGCTCGTATTCGCGATCAGAAGTTTTATTCGCATCGCTGATCAACTCTACCGATTCAGGGTCCTCTTCGAGCGGCCCACTCGACTTCTCGCGAAAAATTATGCACCTCCGATTGCTAATGGTCAGTCTTAATTTTCGACTCTAACCTCGCGATTGCGTAAGACGTGGTCTCTTTGACCACCGAGCCAGCCTATTCACGGCCCTATCGGCCTACGAGACGGAATTTCATCCCCTAATATGGTCGTTAGGCGTGGCGACGGGTTCGATCGGTGGTGGGGCAGCTTAGGACACAGTCCCGCGAAAGCGTAATGGGTTCGCGATCTCCACGGTTGCGAAACGTTACGTTTTCGCGTTCCTTTTTTTTCGAGCACGGTGGATTCACACGTTACGAAATCTCAGCGACTCGATATTAACTGGAACGGTTGCGTCGGTGCTTTCACGCTCGACGCGGTCGAGAGCCGATCGGGATCGGTTTCCCGGGTGACGCGGAATCGTTTCCCGATTGGAACTACGCGCCAACATCAAAAGTGAAAGCCGCGGTTATGCTAGACCCGGGGTCCGTGGTAATCGACCACCAGCCAATGGGAGTCTGCATCCGCGACGATAGTAACGACTCTTCCGTAAACCGATATACAGTCTCGCGTAACGTTTTAAAATCCAGACTGCCGATTACCGACACTCGAAGCGCGGTTAGAGAATTCTTTCTTAGAACGGGCTGATCAAAGAGGATTCGAACTCGATTAAGTTGCTCCATGTATCGGTACTACTAGAAGAGCTAACATTAATCTACTCTAAAAATAGTACGTTCTCTCGTAAAGCATTACCGTTTGTCTCTCTATTCGCGTCGTTTTTCCACTCGGTGGTTTCACCAGTCGATACTATCGACGAACGAGAGGCACCTGGTGCATCTCCAGGAGGATTCTTACGAGCCAATCCGTTCCCTGTCGCAGGTTGTGTTCGCCTGTCTGGCAGTGGCGACGGCCCGCGCCGGAATCGCCCATGGAGGTGGCATCGCTCTTGCCGGTGGTCATGGCATTGGAGGCTATGGAGGCCTGGGCATCGGCAGAGGTTTGGGAGGAATCGCCAGTGGCGCTAGTCTGACTGGAGGACTTGCCGCGGGTGCGGGTACCGCGAACGCTCTCCAACAGAGCGGTGCGTCCAGCTTGGGATCCGGTGGACTCGGTGTCAACTATGCTGCTGGTGCTGCGTCGGCGGCTGGCGCTGCTGGTGTACAACAGATCGTCTCTGGTGGTGCGTAACCACGTGGATAGTTCCGTTACGCCGAACATTAAACTCGTTCGCACGCGAGGATTACCGCGAAAGGGACCTACGTTCATCTGGTTTGTTCTCGTGCAGGAGTGCTCGGCGGCAGGGCTGACATTGGCTCCGCCGAAGGACCCAAAGCCAACGTTGGACCCCAGACCGGACCCTCTGACCTGGTTGGACCCCAAGAAGGAGCCAAGAGCGTAGGTGGACCCCGTACTGGACCATCCAGCTTGATCGGTGCTGCTGCTGGCCCCACCACCGTCCTCGGTAGCTCCGGTGGTACCGCCACCATTGTAGGACCATCCCAAGGAACGGCTAACCTGGTCGGACCATCCAACGGTGGTGTCAACTTCTGGGCTGGAAGCGGAAACGTAAACGGTGATGATGGTAGCTCTGGTGCCGCTGCTGCTGCCGCGCCCGCCTCTGGTCTCGGCGGTGGTGCTCTTAGCGGTGGTGCTCTTGGTCTCGGTGGCGCTGGTCTGTATAATCATCCTATTACATCACCGATTCGATAAATCAGCTCTAGCTGTTTAGACTATTCTATAATCGTACCGGGTTTGGGTATTACAGGTGCCATCGCTGTTGTGGGTGGAGGAGCTGGAGGCATCGCTGGTGGACTCGGCGGACACGACGGTGGTGTTGCTGTGATCAACGGACCGTCTGGCGCCATCCACGCCGGACTCGGCTCCCACGGAGCCATCATCCCCGGGGTACTCGGCAAGTACTAGACGTTCTAAGGCCCCAGCGATCTCGGCTCGGCGACGGCGGCATTCCCACCACAGTCACATACCGGTCTCAAACGATCCTCAAACGCGCTCAACGTCTTCTTCCCAAAGCTTCGTCCAACCTAGGAACATGGTCAAAGCGCCGGCGTTAGTGGTGTAGTCGGTATATAGTCGGAGTATTAATCGCAAGTCCAGTCGGTATATATCGAGACACGGTGTACATGCGCGAGCCGAAAGCCCCGACACGCTGACCCCGTGCCATCGATCTCGGGTTTTCGAGCCCCCACTCCCCCTTAACAATTGGAAGGTGTTAATCGCGGCCCAGGCCATTCGTGATCCGCGGCGCCGTTTCGACCACTCCCTTTTTGTCGACGCGACCCGTCCATAGCGCGAACGCGCATTGCACACGGGTCGAAAGTTTAGTCAATTTCGTTTTTCATCAACTGGTTTACCCGACATCAGGACAACGCCGAGCGGTGCCGCGATTGCCAGCCGCGATTTCTACCCTCATTGCGACGCGAGACGATCCACAAAGTCGCGATCAACCGGGCGACTAAACCTCTCAAAACTGATCGGCATTACGGTTGTCGAGCGGGTCGTAGCTTTCGCGAAACGTAAAACTTAGATCCTCTACTCGCGCACGAAAAACTAAAAAACAAAACCTCGAGTCAACGCAAGCACGTTGGACCCGGCTGCCCCCGCCATTGGACCCAGCGAGTGGACAAGCTTTGGCGCTTCGTCGTTGGACCAACTGGGTCTGTTCTGTTTTCTGAACGTCCATCCAGTTGCTCCAATTGCACACTTCTATTAATTTTTTTTCTCTCTCGCGATCTGTCCACCATCCGCAAAGGCCGCCGTTCTTCACACATGTTTACTACTCTCTCTTTTTTTTTTTCTTCTCTCTACTCTTCCGATGAACCGCCACGGACAGATCGTCACCGATCGCGTTCGTCGCTGGTTCACAAGTTGTTATACTTACCACCGCACTCAAGCATACATATTATTATTACATTACTCGTCCATGCGCATAATATGTTTTCTCTTTATATATATATATACATGTATACATACTATTACTACTATTCCTTCGCGTATATATATATATGAACACATAGCCACACGCGCGCACACACACTATTACTATATGTGTACTCGTATATAGACACACAATACACATATATTATATAATCGTGTTATATGTTAGTGAAAGAGAGAGACCGGTAGATTATGGTAGGTCAGCCCTTCCCGTGAGTGAATGAATGTAAATAGATGGCGCGCCGCTGCCGGCCCCCGACCCCGCCCGCCCTCGTCATACCCTTTCTTTGCGATCACGACTAGCACCCCACCACCACCATAGATAGATACCACATATTTATAGCGTTTATACATTTATACAATACTTTATATAAAATAAAGCATCAGTATTTAAAACTCACTCTCGCAATTATTTCATTGTCCCCTGAAACGTCGAATAATCTTCGCCAAATCGATGCGATCGTGGTGATCATCGTCACGTTTAACAGTCTACCTGAAAATTCAAAATAAATTAACGATTTATCGTGGTCAATTGTAGTACAATGGCATTAAAATTTACATTATTCATTTATTTGTTTTACTACTTGATCCTAACACTGAGGCAAAGAGAATGGAAATACTCGAGGACATGGATGCAGACAGCAAAATGAAAGTGCCTTGAAAATTAAACATGAGTTAATATTCTATTTCAAGGATAATCAAATGTCACTGCGACTAATTGTAAGCTTTCAACAATCTGTTAAATGCTACTACTTATGCATTGGATCATGTTTGGGGCTATCAAAAATTTAGGAACAGATAAATATAAGATTGGCAACACTCATTATTATAGTGTATTATCAGTGAAGATATATAATTATCAATTATTCCAAAGATATTAATAAAAATAGATGCTTGTAAATATAAATAATAAAGTAGATAATTGTATTCATATTTGTTGTTCTTTAACGTTTATCAAAGAACCTTATAATTAAACATTCAGACCTTGAAATAAACCTGTTTATTCGAATGTTCTGAATCTCCAAGAAATCAAATATTACTTAAAGCAAAGGAGAAAAAACAGAAACTTAAATTACAACATGAAATACATAATAACTCGTCCAAGTTTGATTAAGTCGTTATTTACTCCTCATATCGACGTAACTCTTACTATTTTGCATTCCATAAGAAACGATAAACTATTCGACAGTCTGGTAAAGCATTTAAACTCATAACCATTTCATCCTGACATTCGAGGTCTGAAACTCCACGAACGCGACCCGAATACGACCTTCAATCAAAACGATTTGCGAAGAGCAAACAGCTCCCACGGAACGTCGTTCTCCCTTGGCGAGCTCAAAAGGCTGTCGTCGCTCCCAAAAGTTTACTCGCCGTCGTGCATTATCGAATAGCTACTATGGTTTAACGTTGTTGAGGCGATTATTCGACTTTCACGGGACGATGAACTGTACCAGTCATGAACGCAGCTCAGTCATCCGCGGGAGATGGGACAAGGGTGACGCTGGCTCAGGCCGAACGAAAACTGGAAGTTCCATTAATCGTTGTCAGGGAACTGTCACGAAATAAGGTAAGAATATTAATAATTCAAATAGGATTATTTGACCGAAGTTAACTTGCTAACTCCCTCTATCCATCGCTCCTTCAACTCTTTGTAATCTGGAAAAGTTCTCTACGAATTTCTAAAATATTTCTCCTGGAAGTCACTCCACCTTTGACTCGACTCTCTCGTTCATTTCATTCCATTTCTATAAATGGGCAGGGTTTTTTGGGTTTCTTGGAATGGATGCATCAGCAAGTTTAATATTTATTGTAGCATTTCTGACTTTGTTGTGATTCAGTTAATTCTTTTTAAGTAAGATGGTCTGAAGAGGGCCTTCAAGGTTCGTTGAAATTATGTGTTACCTTTGAAACCAAAACGGAGATTATATTATTTTAATTTTAATATGTTTGAATAAACGTAGGTATGACAAATAGTTACCATAATTATTCAGTGAAAGACAAAAGGTACAAGATATCGATTATCTAAATCTTATTACTATGCTATACAATTGTAATACAGATATATTCATATATAAATCTGTTCTGATGATTCTAAACAAGAATGATCATTTATTCCCTGAATCTAAGATACCCGATGGACTGCATTCAGAACAATAACAAAATATTTTGCTGGAGAACACTTGAATGAATTTGCACAATTTCTACGTTAACAATAATTCTAAGTACTTCCATATTAAAATTCTAAATTAATTAGAATTCTATGAAATCTTCCCTTGACAACTGACAACTTCCCTTTAACCGAGCAAATCAAATAAACATTAGATCCCTTGAAGGCTCTGGATCGACACCGCTTATTTCCTAACGTAACAATCTTAAATTAAATTACTTTCGAAAGAACAGCCCGCAACGAGTCGCGTTCCAATTCATTAAACTTGGCCGAAGGTAGTTTTCTCCCCCAATCAGAAGTCGATAAACTTTGGACAAAGGGCAATTTCAACGGTAACCGTAGCGCTGGATCGGCCACTTCACGGAAAACTTACGCCAGGATCAGTCAGAGAGTGGAACTGACCAAGAAAGATATCCGTTCTCGATGCGTTTAAGGGACCGAGACTCTAACGAAACATTAAACTCGAAATCGACCGCCTGTTGCTTACGGTTCGCTGCACCCCGATCGTCCGGATCTGGTTTGCTAACGACAGATTTGTCAAGAGCCGTCAGCTCGTTAGAAAGTTCCACGTTCGAATCGAAATTGCCCGTTTACGCGCTAATGACCCCTCGCGTCGCGTGTCTCCGCCCCGTGAGTGAAATTTCGACCGCGTGACTTCCCCTTGTTCCTTTTATCCAATAATGGATGTCGAGAAACATGCATCGGTACGTAATTTATTTGGGCAATGATTTACTAAAAAACGTGGTCGTTGGAATTGTTCATTGTAAACTTTGTTGCGGGTACTTTGAAAATGTTACGTGAAAGATATCATACTTGGAATATTCATAGAGTTGGAAATACTTCGTATTTATGAAGCTTTTACGAAGTTACGAGGGTATGAAGTATCGAAGTTATGAATTTTTTATGAAGCTATTTATGAAGTGGTCACACGATGTGGCAATCATCATTCGAAATTTCATGATATTCTGAGAAATCATTCTTGAGATGTAAGGCAAACAAACGTCAACATTCATAAATACACGTATCCATACATGCAGAATGTTAATAAATATCTAATGCATATTATTGCCTCACACGAAAAGAAGTCAACAAGAAATTCCATTTCACTTCTTGAATAAAGAATACAATCAACTGCAACATACGTAAACATGCATACATACAGACATTCAATTGTAGAAAAGAAACAATAACTAAAGATATCTGACAAATGAACCATATATCAAACATTCTTACAATTTAACAAATGCATTCTATGAAATATGAAAAATATTCCCTTCAAAAATTTAATTCACTCTATTCAACTCTGTACAAAATATTTGCTATATGCAAACTTTATATAACTCTGTACAAAATAAACACTGCCATATTAATTAATTCTAGTGTAACATAAATTTGTTTAAACGTTTCAGCAACTGGCATCCCGATACCAATCAAAATGGCGAATCGACCTCGAGAGTTCGACGTACATAATCCGCAAATCCACGCAGAATCTATTCTACCGGAAGTGGAGCGTCGAACAGCAGGTTACGCGAGCGTCACAAAGGTAACTCTAAGCTACGACGATGGTCTTTCCTTTCCTACGAGGTGCCAACATTAAACGGTAATTGGTTCATCGATGATTACAGAGGGATCCGTTCGTCGCTTTTGTAAGCTGTACACGGATCGATACTTGCGAGGATGATCAAGAGGATGAACAATGGACGCTTTGTGGAATAATATCCAGACTGCGGGGGCGTTGCAACCTCGCGACGAGGACCTTTTAATTGAACAGGTTTTCGGATGAGAGAGTCGCGTGAAATGGGCCAAACTGGAAACTCGTACGACGAGCATCAAAAGCTGAGTTAGGGGATTCTCTATAGAAACTCTGTTTCTAAACTTCCACCTTCGCGGTAATAGAAAATGAGAAAATGCGGGGTCTTTGGCTGGGCATACTGGAGAGCGTTTGGAAAGTTTCGAAAAATGTTTTGTTATTTAGAATAGCTGTACACCAGTACGTTTGGAAGCTTTTAGAGTGCGTAGGAGCAGGATATGTTCAAGCTTTCACATTGATTTTCTAGCGGGGACTCCGAGTTCTTTTATAGATTAGATTCGAAACAATACTTTCGCTTTGAATGACTGAATTTAGATGGCTGGTCGGATGATGGTATTATAGTTATTTATTTAAATAGATAGTGAATCTTTTGTTAGCAATGTTGTAGTAAACTGCAATATATATATTATTAAAATTTGTGTTTAAGAGAAATCATCATAAGTAAATGCATTCAGTGATAGTTGAAAATTGTATGGTGGTGTAGTGTACATATAAAAATTAAACAATATTAGAGAACAATAATGGAGCTACAAAAGATATGAACATAATTAGAAACATTATTAAAAATTACAAATTATTGATCAATCTAAAAGTTGTTTAAAATAAAGTGTAATTACGACGAAGTGTTTATTGCTAAATATTTTCAACCATACAATTTTTATCAAAATAAGAAGAAAACACGTAATATTTCTTAACGAAGGACACTTATATACCGTTTGTTAATAGAGAAACTATCGAAAAAAACAATTAAGTAAAATACTAATACTGCGAAGAATCTGTAATAATTTAAGAACGAGGCACTATAGTGGAACACTATAATGTAAAAATAAACTTCCACTAAATGCTTAAATCTATAGAAATCAGTTCCACTATAGTTCCTTATATTTTTTTATATTTATTATTATTGTGTTAAGAGGACTTCATATATTTGAACATAGAGTACTTATGCTTTGTGCATTATGTTTTGATAGCCAACAAACTATAGTTCTTCTTTATTTAAACTTTGAGTTCATCAAAGATTCTAGACTTTTTTACTTTAATATACAACAGTAAATTCAAACCTAATTAGCAAAAACTCTCTTCCTGAATATAAAGCTTATCGCTCATTCCACGTTTCAATCACACCGCAGCGCTACTTAAGGAATAAATTAAACACGCAACTTGTTGAATTGTATTATAAAAGTTTGACAGAAAGCTATTTTTAAAATCTATGAAGAATTAATCACTTTATATTAGCGGTAATGGGCGAAGAACACGTTTCGAGAAAACAATTTGTGTTGATTGTCTCAGTATAAAATCTGTACCTTTTCAAATTTCGTCTTATAATTTAACTTGATTATTCAACAGATGTTGATGAATGAAATTATACCAAAACAAATTTCTATTTAACAAAGAATAAAAT